AAATCCCGCAGGAGTTAAACCATCACAAATCAATACAAATGAGATAAGATGATATGCGGAGCCCTGCTATTTGCTTTGAAATGTTATCTATTTACAGTTGGAGGCGGGGGAAGCGAGTTAGCATCGAGCACATTTTGGTGCTGCAGTGTGGTATAATACCAACCGAGATTAACTCGCGGGGAGCTTGGCCAGGTCCCAAACCTCCGGTTGCACAGGAAAAAGCCTGTCACTCCGTCGCCTGGGACGCCCCTGCCTGCACAACAAAGCCACCGCTCCGTCAGGGTCTGCTTTAATGAATACGGAGAGGGCAGTTACCATCCCAGCTGTATTATATCACAGGCAACACAGAAATTAAATCACGTACAATGTAAAAAAAATAACAACAAAACCAGCCAGTCTGGTGAGGTCTGTGATTTTGGCTTTATAGCCAAAAAAACATGACCGGGTATTGGAAATTTTGGTAATATCATCAAATTGTCAGGTAGGGGGAATGGCTGTAGTTGTTCAGAGGTTTTGCGTGAGGGGGTTTCAGGGGTGGGAAGAGAGGGACTTTTAAGGTGTCAAAGATAATTAAAGCATTCACAGTTTCAAAGCTGCTTGCCTTACAAAAATTAAGACATTCAAATTCAGGGATACAATACTGTATTTTACAAGGGGGTTAAAATTAATTACATATACAACAGGGAAAAAAAGATACAACAAAATAAAAAAGCCAACACCTCTGCGGTGGCATACTCCCTCTTTGTTGTCCATCTCAGGGAGCTGCACGTTGCTTGTCTGTAAAGAGTCAAACTGAGCAGTCATGAAAATATCCACCCAGAGATTCTGGCAAAAGAAGAAAAAAAAAAAAAACCACCCTAACAAAATAAACCAAGCAAGTCAAAAGCCATCCTCCCCTGGAAAGCCGAATGCCACGGCTCGGGCTTCCACTTGCCTGCTGCTCCTCGCTGCTGCTGCCCAGCATTTCCGTAGGCTCATCTTGGGTTTTAAAGGCTTCCTGCTCACAAGCTGAAGGAAACCATCCCATGCAAGCACAGCCCAAGAGAGCCATGCCTTACTCTCCTACAAAGTCTTGAATTAGTCCTGCCCATAGCAAAGGGTCCTTCAAACAATCCTTTTCCTCTCTATCCTGCAGAGGATCCTTTTGAAGGCCCGTCTGAAGTCATGGTTGAAAATGGTATAGATGACGGGGTTCAAGGAGCTATTGCAGTAACCAAACCAGAAGAAGAACTTGAAGAGGGTGTCGGGCACAGAGCAGCTCTTGCAGACAGCCATCAGCGTGTAGGTGAAGAAGAAGGGGAACCAGCAGATGACGAAGACCCCGATCACCACCGCCAGCACAAAGGTGAAGCGCTTCTCCCGGTTCTGCCTGCCCTTCCACCGGGACCCTTTGGTGTTCCTCTCCTCCTCTACCTTCCTGGGCAAGCTGTCCCCAGGCTTAATCTGGCTCAGCTTAGTCTTGGTCTTTCCCCTTGAGGGTCTCTCTGACTTCTTACACTGGTTGTTCTCCTGGTGCTCAGAGGAAGAGGTCTCCTCCATGTCTATGCCGTTGACCTCCCCCTCCTGCCTGCCGCCACCTCCTGCCGCCTTCTCCCCATTGAGCTGGGCTGTGGCTGGCAGGTCCTCCTTGTTGGTCAAGCCGTTCTGCCTCTTCTCAGGGCGCTCTGCCCGCTTGTTTGGCGGTACCCTGGTTCGCCTCTTGGCTATCTGGTAGATGCGCATGTAGACCAGGATCATGATGAGGCAGGGGGCAAAGAAGGAGCCGATGCTAGAAGAGATGATGTACCACTTCTCATCGTTGATCTTGCACCCTGCCACCCCCTGGTCAGCCTGCTGCCCGCTCTTCTTCTCGATGGAGATGAGCGGTGGGAAGGAGATGACGGCGGAGATGACCCAGACGATGAAGATGATGCACTTGATGCGGCGCGGGGTACGCTTGAGGTTGTACTCAATGGCTTGCGTGATGGACCAGTAACGGTCCAGGCTGATGGCACACAAGTGCACGATGGAGGAGGTGCAGAACAGCACGTCCAAGGCCAGATAGATCTCACACCAGACTTTGCCGAAGTACCAGTACCCCATCACCTCGTTGGCCAGGGAGAAGGGGATGACCAGCGTGGCCACCAGGATGTCGGCCGAGGCTAAGGAGACCAGGAAGAGGTTCTGGGGGGCCTTGAGCGCCCGGCTGGTGAAGACGGCGATGATGACCAGGACGTTGCCGAAGACGGTGAAGAGCATGAGCAAGCCTGCCAGGCTGATGAGGGTG